GATCAAACGATCATCGTTAAAGGATTTGACACTTCGCTTTCTGTGTTTTCTATCGAGATCCTATTGAGTCAATATTTCAGCTCATGTGGAGAGATTACAAGCGTTATTGTTCCAACAGACCTTCAAACCGGTGCGGTCATAGGATGGGCTTACATTCATCTAAAGGAAGGAGTAGAGAAGGCTTTGAAACTTAGTGGAAGTTACTTGGAAGGATGGAAACTTGTAGTTGAAAAAGTTACACCAGTAAGTGACGTTCGTGGCCGTTTTGGTCCTTCACGCAGAGGAGGTCGTTGGGATTATCCCTACCGTTGTAACGGTCTCGGCCATTGTGGCGGCTGTTGAGGTTCTGGTGGCCGAAGAAGAGACGGGTCTATACGAAAGAAGACTTAACCTTCAACCTTTTTTTTGTTTTTTCTTACTTGTAACCTTCAACCTTTTTTTTTTTTTTCTTACTTGTGATACAATGCAATATTTTTATCTGGTTTTCTTACGTTCTCTAGCGAAAGTTGATGTGGGAATTGTCAAACTAAGCTTTATTTTTAGTGCTTTTGGTGTTAAAGAAATATGAAAATGAAAAGTTTTTCTTCGAAAATAAAGAAACAAAGACTAAGTTACGTATCACAGAACTAAGAGCATCTTTATCGGTAAATAATTTTTCAAGGTATCTAAAGAATATAATACTATATTTTTAAATTTTAATAAATCAAATAATTAAATAAAAATATTAATCCAATGATAAATGTACATGTGGCAACAAGTCTCAACAACTGGTATCAACCAGTTCTTTTCACTGATATGTTTCAAAGAAATTTGAACTCAATAATAATATATTTTATTATTTTTAATCTTATTTAATCTAATGATACCCATAAAAGATTACCGATAAAGATGGTCTAACATTTTTTTATTTCACGAGTCCAAAGAATGCAATTTCATTACTTCCTATAGGTAATCAGCAATATGATTCTTAGAGCATCATTATCCGTGATCCTTTATATAAGTTCATTAAAAGATATTTATCCAATTAAATACTAATATTTTTGATATAATTAAATTATTTAATTAAACAAATGGGTTGAACCAATAAAAACAAAACAAGTGTTAAAATTTTTTTGACACCCGATTCTAAAGTCTCCACTTGCAGACACGATTCATACTCTTTTTCTATCTTTTTATATTTTTTATATTTTGTTTAATATGAAGACACTCTATAAAATGTCACCAATACAGATGCTCTTACGACCTAAAGATGACTTCCTAGAGGCAAGAATTGTTGTGGAAGAAATAAACAAACAAAGCTTACTAACACTTAAATTCATTGTTCTTGAGATACTCCTTGAGAACATCCATAACTGAACCAAACTCGGCCTTACGGTGGATTCGCCAATCTACAAGCCATCTCCTTTATGACAAGAATGTACTAGTTTTGATGCGTACTCTTGCAAATCTAATAAAGTGCAGAAAATCATATCTCACAATTATCTACGAGCGCAGAGCAAGTAACCAGCTCACAAGTGGTGAATATTTGTAGATAATCATGTGCAGAAACAGAGAGGTTTTGTAAGGATACAAAAAGCAGGCAAAAGTTTGAGGTCGGATTTAAACAAAGACAAGAAAAAATCATCTCTAATC